AAGAGCGTCTGAGAAGCAGCACTGGAAGGCCAAAACACTCCCTTCTCCTTTGTTGGACACCTCATGCTCTCTGTGAGGACAGGTCCCAATCCCATTTCCCCTGTGCTCATTGTTCCAATTCCCAAAACCCCGCAACTGGGGATTTTCTTCCTGTGACCAAAAGCCATTCTTCTCACAGGTTTTGTGCTTGGAAGGCAATCCGCTATTACTTACAGTACAGGGGGAAGAAGTTCAAGGAAAGAAAAAGTCCTCCTAAAATTCCATACAAGTACCCTCCTTGGAGTGGAGGTAAGCCCCACTGTGGCCCACGGCCTCATTCCCAGCCACCTAGGTTTGCGGACAGAAAGCAAGGGCCCAAAAGGCCAACTGAGCCTTCTCAGAGGGTGTTGGCTGGAGCATCGGGCAGCTTATTAACTGACCCTTGGGAATCAGAGCAGTCAGGGGAAAGGATATTTTATCTGCGGCCAGCAGTGCTGACTAGAGGTTACCTCACCCAGTGCAGCTCTTCAGCAGTAGCTCTCGGGATGCCCCTGGCCATGCCTATCTCAGTCGACATGGTGGTGATGATCTGCTTTCCTGCTGTGTAAGGAACCCTGCTCCAACAATCTCCACTAAATCCTACTGTTTGAAAAAACATTTATAGTGTTGAGTGAGAAAATAATAGTAATAAAACTGAACATGGAGTGTAGTTTTAAAGCGATATACATACTAGCAGATCGTTGGGGAAGTCAGGATGTCTTTTTCTATGCTTTTCTATGCAAAACTGTGTCATGACTTTCCCGGTGACCCAATATATCTATATACACAGTCGCATACCATGTGATGTTTTAGTCAACAGTAAACCATGTGTACAACTGTTGTGTATGTGATCCCTTAAGAAACATATAGACTACACTTTATAGCCTAAATGTCTATACCATCTATGTTTGCATAAGTAAACTCCATGGAGTTAACATAGTGACAAAATCACCTAATGATGCATTTTTTTCAGAATGTATCCCTGTCTTTAATGGATGGTGTCATTATGAGGGAATTATATATTTATTGTATATATATTATATATAAGACTATATATATATATATATATATACATATAATACTTACATTTATATTACCAAGATATTTATGTAATAGTATAAATAAATGTGTGTGTTTATTTTTAGCACAAGGCCATTGCACCCAGTCCCTTCCCCAATAGTGAGAGATAACTGAGATTGGTACTTGAGTAAATGGGATAATTTAGCAACAGGAAAGAATAGGCAGAGAAGTACCTGGTAAGAATACAACTGGGTGTCTCTCAGTGGAAAATTCTAGAAAGCAAAAAAACATGTCTGCAAGTCTGGAAACAGGACCAGCATCAGAACAAAATAGGGAGAAAGGACAGGAGTATTACAAACAGCAATAAAGTACCCTTTAATGGAACTACACATCCTCTTAATCCTGCTCAAACCTGCTTGATTCTCATGTCTGTTTTCCCAAATATCTACCCTTGCTCTCATTTGCATCTGTTCTTGGAGTACAAACGAGGGCCCTTGAGACCTAACTCCATCTGTGTGATTCTAGTACCCAGCTCCCATCCCTTTGAGAAGGTCCTCACCTCAGAGGAAACAAATCACCTGTCTCCCTCGGGCAGCCACCCCCAGGAGCCATGACATCGCTGATTCCTGTCTCTGCCTTGCAAAATGCCAGGTCAGACAACAGAAATTGGCAGTCTCTTCAATACCAGGATGGGGGGCAACATTTGTTCCTATGGATGGGAGAGCTTATTTAGGAATTGGGGCAGGGAAGAAGAAATATGAGGAAAATCATAAGAGAAAAAGGAGAAGAAGGCATGTAGGCAGGCCAGGCTCAAGTACTCATTCAGAAAGAGTGAGAAAGTGCACTTAGCAGTAACCTCAGAGCTCCTGCCTTTCACTTATTTCCTATAGCTGAGCTCTAGGGAAATAAATCCTCACATCTTCTCTGGTGTCAAAAGGAGGAAGAGGGCAGCAGGGTGCCCTGAGTTAGGGATCAGGGTCCCAAGCCTGGAGAGTCATCGTATGTGAGCTGAGACCTAGAGCGTGTTTCATTCCTCTCTCAGCCTCAGACCCCTCCCTAATCTGAGATACAAAGGTGGGAGTTTAGAAAATCTCCTATAATAAACATCCGATAATCAAAGGAGTGTTAAATAAGAACTTTCTTATTTACTTAGAAAGATTTATTTTGCCAAGCATTGTTGGGAGGGTTTTGAATTCTCTCCCCTCTTCCTTCCCCAGGAGACCACGCCGTCCTAAGGTTCACCTTGCTCAGAGGTATTGAGTGGCTGCGGCCCCAACAGCGGGAAATAATAACAAGTCCAGCCGAAAATTGTGAGTTGGCAATTAGTCACCCATTAACAGCAAAGTTCATGACTCAGCTACAGGGTAAATCTAAAGCCAGCTTGGCGATCCCCCTTACTGACCATGAAGCGATAGAGACTCTCAGAGGAGTCACACATCTTGTGAGTGACAAAGATGAGATGAAAAGTAGGTCTCCTGACCACTGGCCAGGACTCAGGGCACAGCTCTCATGTGAATCCTCATATCTTCTTGATTCAATAGTCTCTCAATGCAAGTGCCTTACAATTCTATTTCTGTAATTACTCTGCCATTTCCAGGCATGATGTGTGATCCTTACTAAGAGACCATCATAACATCCTGGTTGTTCATTTCTCCCCACAGTAGAGCCACCTGCTGGCTGGAACAATACCTCCATCCATCCCTTCCTCCTGGAGGCTCCTGCTTCTGATCTTGTGATCCTAGACTGCCATACAGGGGCCTTGTATTCTCTTTCTCTTCCTCTTCATCTTCAAGGAGTCAGCCCTCCTCTCAAGCACTAACTCTGACTTTGTTCCACAGTCCTTTCTTTTCCATCTCAACTGTTAGCTTCTTCTTGGGGAAGGAGTTGGAGATGCTGCTTTTTAGCTTCTCACAGTCATAAAATGCCAGCTTGACGGACCTGCCCATTTGTATATGTTTCTTGCTGCTTAATTTGCAGGCCTCAATGGGAAACAATTCATGATCAATAGGGATCAGGAAGCTCTAAAGTCTTGTGGTTCTGATGTTCCTCTGCCTTTATCTCCTTAGTTTACTTCCCTGGGTCCATGTGGCTAACGTCATGGGCCTTGCATCCAAATGAAATATTTCCTGGGACAAAAAAGATATTGTAGCAACAAACCAGGTCCCCTGAACTCCCTGCAACTTGGCAACTTTCCCTTCCTTTCCCAGCCCATTCCCTGGGGGGTGTTTCCTAGACGCTCTCCCATGATGGCCGGCCTCAGGCTGAGGCCTCCCAATGACTGTGTCTGTATCCTAAGTTCTGATGCAATTTCCCTCTGTATTTGTCTTTAGCCTCATCTGACAACCTTCTCCAGCCAAAATTTGAGCCTTCTGCCATGCAGGTGTATCCTGTCCATGGGTAGGTATGAGCCGGAACCCTCCTTCTTCTGCCCAGAGCTGCTGTGTCTTAGTGTATAATGGAGGACAGGTCAAGACTTCCCAGAGGCCTGGACTCACATTCCTATACTCCTTGGCATGTAGAACAAAGAGCCTGGGCATGCTGCTTCTAGAGGGGTCTGTAGTTGGGACAGTTCAGGAGGGGTTTCTCCTGGGGGGTCCTTAGTTACCGCTACCCAGGACAGGCACTTTCAGGAAGTGGGAATCCCTACCCCACCTTTTAGTAGAATGCTATTGCTAGAGGAAGAGGCATCTCGGGTGTCCTTTATTTCCAACTTCCAGAAAGCCCCAGACCTTCAGGATATGGTATGTGAGGTAGGGATGGAAAGGAGCTATTTTTCTGCTTGGAAGGATATCAGCAATGAGAATGGAAAGAATATGAGCGTGTCCCACTCTGAGTCACTCTGTCTTTCATGCACGAAGATAAAAGCAAAGATGTTAAGTTAGGGCTCTGGGGGAATCTCCAGGGGTCATGGTAACCACAGCTGAGGAGAGCCAAAGCTGGGCCTGGAGGTCAGGGTTATATGTCACAAAACATCCTTTGTGAGTGGAGGCCTGGTTTTCACACCAACCATTTCACCTTTTCAGACCTGCTCCTGGGTCTGTTCTCCCAACAAGGCCTTGGAGCTATTCAGGTATCATTTACTGGTGCTGGTGTTTAGAGGACAAGTCAGATACTTTGTAGCTCTTTACATGGAAAGGCAATGCATGGCTTCAGAGGTAATAACCAGAAGTGGAGAAGAGGTGATGATAAGAATGTGAGAAGCCCTATCCTGAAGGCAAAGGGTCTCAGTCTGAGCTATTTCCATTCCTAAAGGAAATGGCAGTAGTAAAAGAATAAAGAGTGTATCTCCAGTCACTTCGTTGCCATTGTGATAACTGTTCTCTCTTTCAGAAAAAAAATATCCAACACCAAAAAGGAGATGAAATAACCAAGTCAGGATCCCAAAAGAAGCAAATCCTCCCTCAGAAGCCTTCTAACACTGACAAAAACTCTTCTGGACAGAAATGAAATGCCTTGACACCATCTGTCGCTAGAAAGATCAAGAAGGGGAATGAGATGACAGCCCAGATATGGTTGGACCAGACTGCAGTAGGTAAGATGGGTCAGAGAGCATGAAAGGAAGCCCTTATGTCCTAGCTAAGCCTAGGGGAAGATGGTCTTTCCATAGCAGCTGGACCAGGAGGCCTGAACACTGGATTTCACCCTGCAACTGCATGACCTCATGCAAATCCTGATTCAGGGTTGTTAAAGAAACACTTGACAGGGCCTACCTACCCCATGGCACAGTGGTTAAGGGTTGTGCATTGGGAGCTGGATCCCACATCATCAACTGTTGTTCAAATCCTAGCCCTGGCAGCTTGAAACACACCTCAGGCATGTGTGCATGCATGCCCCAAATCTTGATGGAATGGAAAAATGAAGGAAAAAGGATTGTGGCATGACCATGTCCCTTGGAGCTGGGGGCGGGGGTTGTGCTCTGTCTTCACTCTCTCTCTTTCTCCCAAGCACATGTGCTCTCTGACAATTTTTATTTAAAAAATAACCCCATAACAAGTAGATGTAGATGTCCTTCAACACTCTAGTGGACAAGGGGCTATTGTTATCAGCAGTGACAGGATCTTTGAATGCTAGCCTCTCCCATTCAAACAAATCACACTTGTTGTCTTAGTAAATCTTCCCAATGACCTGTGAGCAATTGTGTCAGAAATCATTTGTTTTGGAAAAGATGCAGACACATACATGAGGAAGATACATAACCTTCCCAAGATTACCAAACAGTAAATGACTGGATGCAAACCACACAAAAGCAGTAGTTCTGCTCTAGAGCTCTGTTCATTTGCCAACATTTTTTTTTTTAAAAAAAAGAGACACTTTTTGTCAAGTACTTGACCAAAAGGCTTAAACTATTGCCCTTATTTTAAGATGACTAGAACCATTTTCTTTCTTTTGAAAAAAATCACAATGACATCATTTCCTGAATAAGCCCTCCACTTGAGATGATTGAGGAAGCTTGGCTCATTGTCTCTGTTGGTTGACTAGAAAGCTTACTGGAAAACCTTCTATAATTTCTAGCCAAAGTTTCCTGCTATGCTGGTGTCCTTTATTTCCCAGACTTTTCTCAAGGATTAAAAAAAAAAAAAGTTGCCATGTCAGGACAGGGCTCATGAATACCTGGGGCCATGAGATCATTTTCTGGGTCTGTAGTGAGGGGAAATCCAGGAAGGCTGTGACTCTAGAGTAGCTCTGAGGACATGCAAGTTACAGAGAGCCTCTCTGCCCTGGGGAGAAGGTCCAACAAGGCAAGCATGCAGTGTAAGGAGGTCCAAAAGACAGTGAAGCCTCCCTTCCCTAGCAGGGCTAGGGCATTAGAAAAGGACTTCGATTCACAGTGGAAATAGGGACACTGAACAGAATTCTAGTTTAAAAATATGACAGAAAACCCAGGCAAGGTTAGCCCAGTTACTTGAGTTGAGGTACCAGAAAAAAGAACAAGTCAGAAACCCCATAAATGGACTTGTGAGGATGAGGGGCCAGCAACAAAGTGACTGATAGACTATTAAAATATTGACTCAGGTCACATGCTTAAATACCCTTACATTCGACTGGGGCTTCACTAAGCCTGCATGGTGTCAATAGGTTGAGTTCCACTTAAGGAAAAGAAAGATAATTCTCCACATATGAAACAGATCTTTGCCCCATCTCCCCATTTCTTAATCCTCTCTCTCTCTCTCTCTCTCTCTCTCTCTCCATTTTCAACCCTGAGTATACTTACATGCA